GAAACATCTGAAATTTACTCTGTGTTTTATCTGTGGTGTCCTTCATTCATATAACCTATGCTTGATGGCTCATTAGCTTACTACGCGTCGAACGTAATTGATATGGCGTTCATCCGTCACTGTCAATTCGATTCATGATTATCTTTTGTCTGACCGATTCCTGTCAACTTATGTGAATGTCAAGGTAATTTCTCTATCCAAAATCAAATCAATGTGAACCTCATTCACCTCCTAGTCACATGTGAATAGTGGTCAGGGATAAGTGATAGTGATTTGGAATGAGTGTCATTCACACTTCACGTTCAAGCGAAATCCTCAGTGCAACATTGCACCGATCAGAATGCGACAGACATTCGAAGTTGCAGTGAGAACTACGCCTACCAGATCACGGAGTATACCGCTCGATTCATTTACCCAATAAATCACTTTTACATCATTCAGTAAACCAAACCAAGCAATATGGTCGATGCACATTTTTGTGCGATACTCAACTGCACGTGTGGGTTGAGGATGCTTACTGCATGCATGATACTTGTGAGACACGTGCGTCAGTCATGTACACTACAATCATTGTTGCAGTGTAAATGTTACGGTCTGATTCACAGTAGTTATATTTAGTAACTAATTTTATTTGGCTAGATTCCAGTACAAATAGTATTTTCAAACAGACACGCAAACTTTAGTTCCCCTCTAGTCAGTAATGTCCACTGGTCATTGAAAGTAACCAAATCACAACACAGAGCGGACGTCTTCTATCGAAATTCTCAATTCAGGGACTACTTATCGCATTACCCTGTGCTTTTTTCTCATCCTGCTCATTGCCATCTGTTACCCTATACAAATCAGGACTGGAAAATCATCGAATCGGATTTGCCCATAAATACCTGTTTGGGAAATGAAAGCGATGGTCATTTCTGGATGCGATTCGATGACTTCTTGGACCAATTCAACTATATAGTTCTTTGTCATACAGCAATTGGTGACTCTTGGTTCAGATTCACTCCACATGGATGGACAGAAATCCTCTCCAAGGCTTCTTGTCCTACTTGCAGCATTCCCATTGAGGGTGATGTGAATGACTATGATCTGTACTCGTTCGCTGAATCTCTGCCCCATCCAGGACGTCTTTGGCGAGAAATCACGTTTCATGGATCGTGGGATGCGAGATCCAGTGGTGGCTGCTTGAATTATCTGAGCTCATTTCATCGAAACCCTCAGGTGAACAACGAGCATTTATATTCCTTGCCCTTATGTATCCGAGGAACGTCCAATTTTTATTGATACAGAGTTTTGTCAAATTCTGTAAACTGGCAACACATCTGAGTTTATTCAGAATTGTTAATTTTTATTTCAGGCTTCATCTGCACACACACGAGTTTTGTTCGCATTGAATCTCATCCGTGTTATATATGAATCAACCAAACCAGTAACAAACAATCAATTTGAAACAGATGTTGAAATTCATCTTGGTTGGTTTAACTGGAAACATCTGCCCCAATGTGTCCAAGCAAGCCCAATACAGGCTTTTGATTAGAGTTGGCAATTAGTGGTTTGCGTCTCTGCTCGTTGCTGTCTGGCCCAATGTACTAACTGACTGCCATTGAACAGGACATTTAAATGAAAATGGGTCGATAATCTTGGTCAGCTTGAGCCTGAGGCGGTTAACAACACACCTTCCTTGCAGTGAGTCCGTGGTTCAGTCCGCTAGATCTGCTTCACGGAATATCTTTGATGAAGAGGGAAAACGAGTAGGATATTTCCCGAGTATCTGTTTATGAGCAGACGGTAATTTTAGATCTAATCGCACGTTGCATTTTGCCACAGGATGTCAGATTTATTAACATAGCGGATTTTCGATGTGAAATTTAAAAAAGTGAGGCATAGTACGATTAAAATCGTCAAAAGTATAACATATTTCATAAATAGCATTCAGCCAAATTGGTCGCAGTTGGTAGCGTCTAACATGCAAATTATTGTTCGGAATCATCGCTTGAATGCACTAATAAATTGATCTAAACAATATTTCCGCAAAACTACGCCTCGTGTCGCTGATTCTAGATGTGGAGAATGTACGTTCGGGGTTCAAGTATATGAATAACTAGATTGCTGAGTACACTTACCTAACGAGTGGTAATCACAGTGAAACCGGTCGTGTGCTTCCAAGAAAATATCGTGCAATTTTCACATACTATTTATTACAACATATATTTTACAATTAATTCAGTTACTTGTGAGTAGTGGTGTAGGATAATTAATATTAATTTAAAGTGACCATCTTTCGGACTTCACCTTGATGCAAAATCTCCACTAGAATCGAGTTTCACTCTTATTAGAGCTCATCAGTAGTGCAAATCCACCGTCCCGTCCCAGATTTGAACTCCGGTCGCATCGCGTGGAAAGCATTTGTGTTATCACTGTTGCAAACAACTGGCCAAAATTGCCAATTTATGTTCAAGTGTCATCGTGAGTGATGGGCAGCCAGTTCACATTTGGTCCGACGAGGGGAGACAATTGACTATCTGCTAGAGCCAATCGAGAGTCTCCTATCAAATCAAGTCTTCCATGTAGGTTGTGCTAACTTTTTTCTTTTCTTTCTTTTTCATTTTACTTCCTTTTATTGAATATACAAAGATACAATTTTCAGGAAGGGGGAAGCGGCCAATCAGAGGGCTTGCTACAAACCCACCAGGCTGGAATAATAATTCGCAATTAGTTCACAGTTACTTATGACTACATCCCTACCCAACTTTGGTACCAATTGCGCTGTCATCCGGCTCAATACCTCGCGTAACCTAACGGGGGCCTTACATGATTCACCACTTCAAGTCCCGGGGCTTAAGTTAGCCATCTTCATGAGTGAATAACAGGTCCTCTTGACTGTGGGGTTTACCCCGTCTTCTGTTCATCGCTGGGTTGTATATTTTAAGAGGTGGCCTAATAATTACCAATGTGTTTGTGGTTTTAGATAATAACTGACAAGTTGTGCTTAGCTTATTATAATTGGTTTCCCGCATCTTTCCTGTTGCTTCAGTTCGCGTTTGACATCCTTTGTCCAAGTCAGTCAGTATCTGTCTACCTGTTGCAGAAAACTGTTCGACGGTTAGATTGCACCACATCAACTACCGGGCTTTATCATATTGGCCTGTGCCTGTTTCGCGTAAGTTCTTCCATCTTTGTTACTCCCACTTCACTGTCACATCAAAACAGGGGCTGGATTAAGTCGTAGTGGCAACCGGTGTTAGATGATCATTGCAAACAATTTGATATTTTTCTCTCTCTCTACATATGGCTGAAATTTGACTGGAACACGATCGTCTGGGATGCTTAATTCCCTTTAGTCCTTGCGTCATCATCATCAACCGGATACTTTTCCCCCTGTATCTTGCACGCCGATAGGTTGAGGCTAATCGAACGACACGTTTGGAATCGTTTACCCAAATTCAATTCGTGGCCAATTCGTTGTATCGTAATAGCCGTGCGGTTTGGATTCGTCTTTGTCTCGATCGTGGACGATACTGTATTATTCCGACAACGTTTTATCCGGATTGTTATACTGAATTTATGCTACGGTTGGTCGGTGTACCGCCGATCTCAGCCTTGTAAGTATGTATACTTTTCCGTTTAGCATGGACACGTATACCACTGCTGTGTTCCCATCTTTCACCATGAGTTTTCATGATCCGAATACGTGATCGATATGTCGTAGATGCCAAGGTCAGTCATATGGGCTATCCTACATTTCCTCCTCAATTGTATTGCACAACTAGTGCAAGTTTGTGTTATGATCACACACTTCACACGCCTTTCGTCGTATTAAATAAACTACGTAAAAAGTGAACCCCAGAGATTACAAAAATAATTTATTATCCAAGGTCCAAAGCGGTTTCCTTCTGATGTTTATACATAGGGACTGCTGTATTCCTAAATGCGTTTGCAAGATATGATGTGGCGGAGCTTGTGGAAGGATGGACATGACAGCATGTTAAGTCAGAGTGCCGTGAGTTGTTATGATCTGCTCGAATCCATTCGGCAACATTTTACGCGTGGTCTGATTAAACGTGTACGACTGGAATTGAATTTTCACCGTGCAATATCTTTCAGCGTGTGCTGTTCTTCCTTTTCTGTTTTTAAAAACTCCCCATCTAATCAGTGAATTTCAAAATGAAGTCCAACTGTCAGCTGAACCATTCATCCAAACGCAGCAATCCAATTCGTCTGACCATGTGACGGTCCCTTCCACTGCGGCCGCTCGTAGGCGTCTTGTCATAAGTCGTCGTGTACGTAGTTGGTTTTGTTCCCTCGGAGAACTACTTCAGTGGGACTGTTCCTCCTTGGGCATGCCCGGATCTGGTCACGATGTTGTTGCTGAGCTCGAATCAGTAATCCGTGTTCTTTTGATCGATATTGTCTTGCAACCTGTCTCGGTTGAGTCCGTTGCTCGTCTCATCGGGCGATCAAATCCTCAGTCCATCAAAAATTCCAGCGCCCCGGTATTTTACGTTCGATTGGCGCATATTGGAAAAACAGTAGAAAGTGGTGTGCACCGATCTGAACTTTTGGGACTTTCTATGGCACACGGGATAGTGCGTTTCGATGAAGCGTTTCTATTCGACGTAGGAAAATATCAAGCGCATTCGAAAGTTGTTTCTATTGAGGTAAGTTTGTGCTCTGGGCATATTCATACGAAGGGACTATAACCGGGGTCGATGTGTTGTTCTAGAGTTGATCTTGTTCCCGGAGACTCTGTTTGCTTCCCACGTGTTTATTGATTTTGTGATCTAGTTGTGTATAGCGAATTAAAAGAGCGCCAGGGAACCGCTTCATCCTTCTTGATAGTAGTGCGTATGTTTTACATCTTAACCGGATCGAAAGAATGTTTCATCGAGGCGGTTATTGGTCGACACGGAGCTGTTTGTTTCAGTCATGTCTGTGGGGCACCGCACTGTCAGTCACATCAGTGCAATGCAAAATTGAGAGAATTCAACTGATTTGTCTTTCCTTTGGAAATAACCGGCAACCAAAGGAAAATGCAAAATTTTGTAATCGTCATTATCCGAACACAGCATTCTTGGCTTCGTCATTCTTATGTTTAAAAAAATTATAGAAACCAATGGGGTTGTCAACCGAATGAAGTGCGGTCTACCAGAAATGATCGCAAGCGGAACTGTTTCTCATAGGGATTTTAAAAATTATTTCTATCGTTTCACAAAAGTCATTGGATTATTTTGTCTTGTTAACATTTGAAGTGTCAGCACCATTTCTATTTAGACTATATCCCGCGACAAAAGTATCCTAAACCCTAGATTTTCAGTCGGTCAGGGTTAATTGTCGGCAATTTAAGAATATGCATGAATTGCGATTAAAAAAAGAAACATAAAATGAATTCGATACTGTAGTACACGAGGGCTAACAAGGAATCGAACCAGGTATGGAATCACACTGTTTTCCTAAGGTATACGTACAACAAGGAGTTGATATTTGGACCGAATTCGGGGATTTGTTTCGGATTTAACGATTTCGGAATACCGATACGGTCCTTGAATAAGTGTTATCCTGTCAGCAAACTTACCACAAACATCGGAATGCTTGGAAACCAAAAAAATCTATTAAAACAACTATCACTTCCACCTTATCGGGATAAAAGTTTCTGGGATCTGGCGATTAAGGTTGAATCTTTTCTTTTAAACCTGGAATAAATATCGGCAGGGATTACATCCAGTGTTTCAAGATACAGAGAATTATGAATTTGTGAACAAGATTATATGTAACCACCAGTTTTCTAAGCCTGTATGCATAAAATGGCAGTCTTCGAACTTTTGTGAGAGCATGCTCAGATCAGGTCTCCTTATGCATGAGAGTGAAACTGAGGTATTTAATAAAATCTGATTTGGGATTGCTTTAACTATTGACTGTAAGATTCGAAAGATTTCATACCAATGCAAGTTAAGGGGGTCGGGGTTTACGAGTAAAGGGAACGTCGATACGCCTATTGGTTTTAAGTATTTGAGTTTGGAACACAGACCGATAGCTAAGTTCATTAAGGCTGTTCTGTAGGGGCAAAAAGTGTCTTTGCTGGGGGCGGGTGGGCAACTCATGACTAAATCATCAACGTTTTTGCGGGCAATGAAGCTACGGGG